TTAGAGATGAATCGATTATCATATATTTTCATACAGATCGAAATGATATTGAATTGTTTAAAAATAATAAGTAAGATAATAAATTAATATTCACATGAGATAAACACATTCGATCTTTCCATACATGAAATATATGTTTCCATATTTTGCACAATATAAAATCTATTGTTTTCTATTTCATGTTCCATTATATAACTGTTTATAACTTTTAAAACATTTCTAATCAAACTTCATATAACATTTCTTTTTTCCACTTATATAATACGCAATTAAGTGTGTGTTAAATAATATTAAGTTGTTCAGAAAATTCGTTTCAAATTTTGTTAACTTAAAATTATATATTGAATATATTCATTGCGAAATTTTCAACGTGAAAGTTTAAAGTTTTCCCTAAAAATTCATTTTAAAAAAAGTGATTTTTTGTTATTGAATTATTCGCGGGTTAAGAAAAAGAAACATTCCGACTCATAATTGCGTTAAAAATCATCGTACCGCAATAAAATAAATAAAAAATACAGATTTCTGAAGCTTAAAACTTTGCTCTATCGAATGCCAATTTTATTAAAAAATAGTATATATATATATATATATACTAATTTACCAAATTTATCAAACGACCCACGTATATATATAATCCACCCTATTCTCCGGATTTGGCCTCATGTGACTTCTTTCTGTTCCCAAATTTAAAAACTTAGCTCGGTGGGAAGAAATTCTCGTCAAATGAGGAAGTCGTTGTCGCCGTCAATGAGTATTTTGCAGACACCCTACTTCAAATGACTATCAAACGTGAACTATGCGTCCTTTCTGGCTGAAATTTGGCCTGAAGAGGTTCGAAAAGTGGATCTTTCGAGATGTCGCGTCATCAAATGGATTGTAGCGCCATGGAAATTTACCAAACTTATCAAACAACCCACGTATATATATATATATACGATACACACACACACACAAAATATATATATATATATGTATGCGCGCGCGCGCGTGTGTTATTTCTTGTTGAAGCTTTACTTATAAGCATTTTATCAGAAACAAAAATCTTTTATGAATAAAATTAATATTTCCTGTGATTAAAAAAGTAATTAAATATTATAA